GAATTCCCCAGCCAGCGAATGCTGGCTGGGGAATTCTGGGAGTTGAAGTCCAGACATCTTCAAGTTGCCAAGGTTGAAAAACACTGCTCTAGACAGCAAGGAGGGCGGCATTTACATTTAATAAATAAACAGATAAAATACCACAAAGGTGTCCTACGAAATACCAAGCCACAGATGCAGATGAGCAGTTTTAGGTGTGCTTTTATTCTAGAGTTTAGAAGAGTTACAGAAAGAGACATGATCAAGAAATCTACTGAAGAAGTTAAAAAAAGGCCCTCTGAGCATTTCCTAGCCGGCTCACCCAGGCAGAGGAACCTTTGCCCAGAGAGGGAGGCCGTTGGAAGACAAACGATGGTGACCCCCCTCCTCGGTTGCCCCTGGATGACCGCTCTGGGGCTCAAGAGAGCCGTAAGGTGCATTGAGATCAGTGCGGGTGCCGAGGGCCGCAGGGTAGACCCCTTGTGTCCCCTGCCAAACAGAGCAGAGCCGTTGGCCGTGCCCAGCCAGGACAGAGCCTGCCCGCAGCAGCTCTGCCACCCACCCGGTGGGCTTTCACAAGGCTTGGCAACATCCTCCAGGGGCTGAACTGCTCAGCTGCTCAAAATCACAGCCCCCCCCCCCCCCAGTAGTAAATGCATTTGGGTGACTCCACAGAATTTAGGCTAATGATTTCACTGGGGTTAGAGTTGCAAGATACGAAAATAAGACTAATTACATTTTAATTCCTGTATTCCGGTTCTTAAACTGCACAAGCAGAACCGCCTGCAGCCTCTGTCTAAGGGCTACGTGGCAACGCGGCTTAAGTAAGCTTCAACACCCACACATGGCTCCCTGGAAATTGAGACCCCTCCCCACAAAAGGCAGGAGGGAACGGTGTGCTACCTGTCCAGGTGAGGAGAGGTGAATTGTTCGCATCTGTGGCTGGAGGGATTCTTCCCAGCCAACAGACCGCATGGCGGGGCAATTCTATGGCAAACCAGCCCTTCCTTAGCGGCTGACCCCGCACCTCCCGCAACGGGGCTCCCTGCAGCCGCTCCCTGGGCCCAGCCTCTTTGCCAGGGCTGGCTGTGGAACATGGGCCACACAGGTGCCACTAGCCAAGACCAGGTGTTGCAGCTCTGAGGGAGCGGGGCATGTGGAGGACCCCCTCCCCTCCCAAGACAGCCAAGAAGGGGCAGGAGGGAGGGCACATCCCCTGGTCTCACGGGGCCCTGCTGCTGCTTAAAGGGTCGCCTCTCCTAGCCCCACTTCTTCTCCCCACGGAGAAGCCGAAAGGCAGATCGCGGAGGCAGGATCCTGGAGGGCCGCGACCCTCGCCGGCTCCGCCCTCCTCTGCGGCGGGTGGGGGGGCAGCCTGGGCCCCCTCTTCCTGCTTCATGGCAGCCCTCATTATTCCTTAATTAACAAATCCAACAAATCAATTAACTACTCAGTTCCTAATTAAAAGCTACAAGAGGCTCCTCTCATGGTGATTAGCTGCGGAGGGGAGCATCAGCCTGCCTGCCTCTCCGCCGCCTCCCAATTACGGGAAGCCAGGAACGCCAAGGACGCCGCGGCCCCTTTTGTAATTTCCGAGCGGCGGCAAAATTAATTAGCCGCCAGGCCGGAGGGCGGCGGGGGCTGCGCGGGCACCGGCGGGGGACGGGAGCCCTTCAGCCGGGGGGAAGGGGGGCGCCAGCAACGCAGAAAGCCCACCAGGCGCCCTCCGTGCCTCTTCCCGGGAAAAGGGGGGGGGGCGCAGCGGCTTTGGAGCGAGATGCTTCAGGTGGGCTGGGCTGAAAACATCCCTGGAATCCTTGCGGAGGGGGGGGGGTGTTTGTTAAAACCTTCCGCTCGGATCAAGGTGGAGCCCCTCCCGCTGGGTGAGCGGAAGCCCCCCCCCGAAGAAAACATGTCCTTGGGCAAGGGGGGAGCCTGCACCCTCCACCACCCCCGGGCAACGGAGAGGGGCGCTTCCTGCTTCAGCCGCAGCCGAGGTGCAGGGTCTGAGCGCCCTGGTTCCCCTTGGGTGGGGGCTCGGAGGAGCTGCACCTTCCACACCCACACGCTCCCCATAACTCTGAAGCGCCCCACTGCTCCGAATACTTTGGGAAGACAGGACCCAATTTCACGCCGTGCCAGACTCCGGGGACTAAGCGGGCAGGGGTCCAGGGAGGGCAAAGGGGGGTCCAGGGAGGGCAAAGGGGGTCCAGGGAGGGCTTGGAGCCTATTGGCCCTGCCCCCTCCACCAGCAAGGTCCGCTCTGGCCAGAGGCCCCCTCCCAGCCCCCCCCTCCCGTCCCCCAAGGCACAAGGGCTGCGTTCACATGTTCAGGGTTGGTCCAATACTCTGACCTGAAATGTAATCTCGTTCCCTGAGTTTCCACAACACAACACAACACCCACAACAGCAGCAGCAGCAACGGGAAGGAGGGAGGGAGGGGAAGAGTAATGAATGCTGCAGACTCACTCAGCTCCCCTGATTAAAGATGCTGTGTGAGCTGAACTGGCACTTCCCTTCGTGGCACTTGGCTGCGAAAGCTTCCTTTCCCTTCCTTCTCTCATCCACTGGCTTTGGCAATTGACCTCGGGCATCAAAGTGCCACTCCAGCCCACAGCCCAAAACTCCCAGGAAGTGCCAGTCAGTCCTCTGAGAATGAAAGGCAAAGGACAGCCACCCCCACAAGGAAGGGGTCAGTCAGAGCAACCCCCTCTTTGAAGGGCTCCCAAGGCTGCAACCAGCATTGCCGGTTGAGCCCCTGCAGGAGCCACCGTGATACGCAGGGCAGGGCGGGGGGCTTTCAGGGGGAGCCAGGGATTGGGGTGGGGTGAGGAGGCCGTGGGTAGAACCAGCCTTTCAGCCCCCCAACCTCTAAGGCTGTGATGGCTGCCTCCCCACCCTCTTGTGTCCCCACCCCAAGACCCTTCCCATGGGGGGGGAAACTCTCCCCATGTTCTGGTGCTCCAGCTGATTCCCCCTCTCCAAATTGTCTGAGACTGCAGCCCCCTGCGTGGCCATGGGTGCCTGGGGAAGCTGCATCCCCACACATCTGGTGGGAGGGGGCTTGCCAGGCTGGCCTGGAGCTGAGCAGAGGAAGCCAGACTTTCCACCAGCCCAGTTCCTTCCTCCTTCCTCCCCCCCCCTTCTCTTTGTGCTGTTACTGTCGCTAATTGAGAATTTTAAATATTAATCTTTTCGACCAACGTGAGATGCCGGGTCTCGGAAAGTGCTAATTTACACGCCGTTCTTGACGGAGGAGGGAAGATGTTACAAGCCGCAGCTTTGTCTGCTCCTTCCTCCTATTGTATTCCGCCCCCTCCCTCCCTCCCTCCCCCCCCTTCACGCCCCTCCGTGTGCTGCTGCTGCTGCTGCTCTGCCGCCGTCTCCGGTGCCCAGGGCTGGGCTGCCTTCCGCTCACAGCCCTTTGTTGTAGGTGACGGTCAGGCTGGCGGTGGCCTGGGCGATCTCCGGCTCCAAGCGGGCAGCCTCGATCTGCCAAGAAGGAGGCAGGAAAACTGGGTCAGAGAAGAGCAAGCAGGCCCCGGTGTGGGGCACATGAGAGCAGCTGGGGGAAGGGGGGGCTGGCAGGGGCAGAGAGGCTCTGCGGACGGCACCAGCCCAGCCCCCTTGAATCTCCTCTGCCCACCCCGCTTGGTTTTGGGAGGCTGCTTGGCGCATCCGAGGAGCCTTTGGCGCCTGGCATCCCCACTGCAGGCCAGTAACCTGAGCAGAGGCTTCGTCCTCATTGTCCCCCCAGGCTCCCCTCTTGAGCCGATGCCCCTCCCTCCTTCCCAGGACAGGGGGCTTCTCAGGGGAGCCTCTCTGGCCCCTCTTGAAAGCTCACCGTGATTCCAGCTCTTGCCAGGCTCTGGGCATGGGGGGTGTTGTTATCTGTGGGGCATTCGCATTATCCCGGGATGCTTTGGGGCCTGGAGGGCTGAAAGGTGTCCAGCAACCAACCCCAGCACAATGGGGGGGGAGGTGCAGGGGACCTCTTGGCTCTGGAGCCTCCTTGCCCAGGGAGACGGGGGGGGGGCAGTGTGTGTGCCGACACATTACAGGAACAAAACTACCAATCATCCCCTGCCAGCAGAAGTGGAGGCAGAGCAGCCTCGCATTCATGTCACAGGAGGGAAGCTGCCCCAATTAGCCACAGCAAAAGCACGGAAGGCTTAGAAGCCGCTTGGTAGGGCTCGAGAGCTCCATCCGAGCGGTCCGGGTGATGTGCATTTTAAGTCATGACTTTCCCCCCCCCACAAGTTACACCAGTGGTACATTCCATTGAGTGGAGTCTGTTAGTAGCCACAGGGAGGGTTCTGCGGGAGCCCCCACGGATTTTCATCGTGGCCCATGCCCCGGACTTTGATGGCCGAAGGCTACCCCATCAGTGGCCTCCTAGGGACACACACACACACACACACACACACACAGAGTCTTGCCAGGCATCAGGGATGGCAGGTTCAGCACACACACACACACACACCCCAATTTCAGCGGCTGCCTTTGGCTGGCTGTCTCTTGGAGGGACAGGTGGAAGCAGAGAAAGTGGGAAGAATCATCTGGAAGAATCACAACAGCACAGCTGCCGTGCTGAGCCCAGAGGAAAGGCAGGCAGAAGGAGGCATCCGGAGCGGGGAGGCTGAGAGCGAAGGAGGGC